CGCGACGCTGGTTTGGCAACAGGCACTTGGCATAACCAGAGTTAGGATTTATGCAAATGACTAAATGTTATCAACATTCAAAGCTGCTCAGTGGGCACTTACCAGCTTGTTTGTGCCAACCTGGGCCAGCGTTTTCTGCTCTTGATACTCATTTTAAACTGAAAGGTGATTCTGTGTTGTCTGACTTGCCTAGTCCTTCCCAGAATCCTTTATAAAATGTTTCCAAGGCCTTTAAAAACAGGGTCCTTGGGAGGAGAAGGTCGTTGGCAGCTGGGAAGCAGGCAGGGAAGACCAGAGTGAGAACAGGTTTCAGTTGACAAGTTGTGTCTCTGTCACCATCCGAGGGGCTTCACAGGCAAAGTTCATGTTGGGGTTCAGGCTGTTTCTGTTGAGAGGTTTTGTGATTTCTGGCTGCAACAGTCAAATTGTAAACATTTTGGGGAGAAGCCTTGTTCAGTTACCCAGGGCAATCCCTGTGGGCTGGTGTGTTTGTAACGTGGCAGCATGAGGCTGAGCCCGTTCTTTGGTGCAGGTTAAAATTCCACACGACCTGGAGAAGAGACAAAGGGAAATGGAGAATGCAGCAACGCTGCTCAAACTGGAGGTGGAAGATGAAATTAGGACGGGGTTTAAAACATCCAGCCCATCTTCTCTGGAGCCATTGGAAGATCTGGAAGCACGTTCTGCAGCAGGGGATGGCCTGCAGTGTGAAGCTGGGCACTTGGAGGAGACGGGACCCTTCGCTGCTGCTGACAAAAGACTCTTCTCGCTGGAAGAGAAGTTGGATTTTTCTAAAGTCTTCTTAATGGTAAAAGGCTTCCCAAAAGCAGCTGCTGCTGGTGCTGGGGTTGGTGCCTTTAGCTCCTTTGCTGAATGTGCTTTTGTCTCCCAAAGGACGAGCAGTGGCGGGGGGAGGCTCTCCGGGAAAAACTGCAGCATCGGGAAGATCGGCTGAAGGTGGGACAGCTCCTGTCACACGGGGATCCCCTCGGGCCCTGGGGATCCCTCTCTGTCCATCCTGCCTGGCTGCAGAGCACCTTTGGGTGGGAGCCATAGAGGGAAGCCTAGCACCTGCATGCTCTAGCAAGATGAATAACTTTTAATTAAGAGTTAATTGGATTTTTTGAGTAATGTCACACGATTTCCATACAAATTCCAGCTCAGAAACACCCATGATCATTCCCCATCCGGGTGATGCCAGTTTTGGTTAAAACACACCCCTTGCTCTCTCCAGAAGCAGTTCAAGATAAAGCCATTAAATAGAGTTAGTTTGACTTGGGAGGGGGAACTGCTTAAAACTAATTCCTGGGCCTGTTGCCATCCGCTGAGACCCGTAACATCCCACCCCTGGGGGCTTGGGCAGGGGAATTTTGAGACATAATCTTGAAAATGCCCCTGGCTGGAGCTGAAGGGACGCTCTGGTTGGTGTGTGCAGGCCGAGCTGCGGCAGTGCCTGTCCAAGCAGGTGGAGGTGCTGTTCCGCGGGCGGCAGCAGACGGAGGGCACCCTGCAGAGCCTGCAGCGCCAGCTGGATGCGCTCGATGACCTCGTCAGCAGCACTTCCTCAGATTCACTGATTTTCACCCAAAGCTCCAGTCTGGTCTCTCTTCAGGAAACTCTGAATTGGACAAAACCACAGGTAAATGCTCCGCTCGGCACAGGAATTTGGAGTTTGTTCCTTTTTTGAAGTTTTAGCTGGCTGGTAGTGTCTCGTGGCTACTTGCTCCCCCCTCAGCAGCGGGGAGGGGGCTCTGGAGGGGGGTGACCACACCGTGCACCCATTGCTCTGACAGCAGCTGCCTTAGAACCACAGAGTCATGCAATGGGTCATCACTTGTTTGAAAAGGCTACGCTTTCCTCAAAGGGATGTGGTTTGGTTGGGTTTTTTTACTTTGTCTTACTATTCATTCTTTAAAATTCAGATTTTTCTTTTTGTTTTTTAAAGATTAATAGGGCTCTGTTAATTGAAGACATTAATTAATTACTCAGTTTTCCTGCTTTCCCCAGGCTGCTCTGAGGAGACCAACACACCTCCCCAGCAGGGCCCTGGGGACAGCGGTGGCGTCTCAGACCCCCAGTTCCTGCTCAGGAGGGATTGCTCAGAGGTGAGATGTGACCTCAGCCCAGCTGTGACAGAGTCACGTGTGTCCCCAGGGCTCAGGGAGGTGGTGGCCCGGGGCAGGGGTGGGTTCTGGGACCACCTTGTCCCCTTTCCAGTGAAACCATTCCCAGGGCTGGTGTCCCCACACTTGATGCTGAGACTCTACCTCACCACTTTCCATGCCTTGTCTCCAGAGGCCTTTGCCCCAGAGCCTGCTCCACTGTGAACTTTTTGTACGATTAAGCAACTGAGCTTTATGTATATAAGTTGTGGGTTTTTTAAAAAATTATTTTAAATGTGAATTTAAATGTTTCCAAACCGACTCCTTCTATTTAAGTGTTTGTTGATATTTGTCTGTTTCCACTTTTGTAACGAGGACAATGTCCATTTCCTGTTGACAAAATACAATTATTTTGTGTACTTCCTTAAAATAAATGTCAGTGACAGATTCTTACTTTCATCCAGGGCTGGGTTTTGCCTCTTTGTTGTTTTTTTTAAAGCAGTTCTCCAGGCTGTACAGTCCTGTGCAGCACATTCACCCCTGGATCCCTGTTCTGGAGTCTGTGTTTATGGTTAATGGTTTCATAAACAAAGTTCCAAAGCACCTTCCTCTTAATTAGTAGTGGAAAAACCACTTCAGGAAGCCTTCAGGCAGCAGAACAAGGCCCCGTGGCCACACAGAGCTGTGTCCTGCAGCACAGCTCTCCCCAGCCCTCTCTACCCTCCTGCACAGGGCAGGATCCAGAATGATGTCAGAGCCTCTCACCCCCATTATTAACATCCACCTTCTCCAAGCACCAGGTGTCACTTTGTCACACTCCCCTGGGAATAAACACCCAGCTCCAGTGGCTTTTTTGGGACCGAGCCCTTCCCTGTTACACCCCTGCCTCTCCCCCCAGAGCAAAGCACAGGAGCCGCGCACAGTTTATCTAGATACAGGTACTTTATTTACAAATATTTAGATTAATAGCATTGTTACATCAAATGAGGAGTACAGCAGCCCGAACAGATCCTTTCTGTGACAGAAACAATAAGACCAACTGTAAGTGACTCTGGTAGAAGAGGCGCTGCCCTGGCCGTGCTGCGGGCGTAGGAGGGTGACCCCGCGGCAGCAGCAGGGCCTGGTCCCTGGGCAACCCCCCCGCGGTGCAGCCTGGGTGTAAGCGGGATGCAGTAGCTGTAGATCTTCAAACATACCCATCTACTTAAGAATATTAGTTAAAAAAAAAAAGGACTAACCAGACAAAAACGAAGGGACAGTGCACAAGTTACCCAAATCCTATTGTCTGCACATTCCAGTTTTGGCTTGTATTTAACATTGACTGTACAATACTCTGGTACCACGGGTTACTTACAAGTCTGAACATTGGATAGTTTTAGTGTCTAAAGAGGGATTTTAGGACTACTTTGTATTTTAAACACTGCGTAAGACGAAAATTGGACACTCAATCACAGTTAAGCACTTGCCCCCTTCTGTTTTCACACCCCAGGTGACATTTCCAGGAGCCACACGCTCCAGTGTGACACCCCAGTAAAACCCCCACATCACCCAGTACCACCCCCAGGTGCAGCCACTCTCCAGCCAAGTGTCACCCCACAAGAAATGGGCTCGAAGGCTCAATGGAAAAGCCCAAATCTTAAAAGAAACCCTCACCCGGAGCCAGTTAAAAATACAAGAGTAGTTAAAAATCCCTGGAGAGCACAGGCCTCCTTCCCACTGTCCAGTTCAGCCTCCCACCAAGGGAAGTCACAGGTATAAAAGCGTTGAGATGTGCAGGAGAAGCAGCCTGGGGCCGTGATGAAGCCCAATAACGCAGGAAGAGAAGGGGGTTTGCACACAGCTGATTGCACACACGGGGAGGGGACACACCACAGGGCAGAGGGGAGAGAGATTCCACTAGTGTTAGTTCCTGGGGGGGAGGAGAGCTCCCCCAGGCACGGGCGACACCACCCAGAAAAGCCTACAGGGATTTGGGGACTAACAGGGGGGGCAAGGTGGTGAGGTGTGAGCTCGTTCTGTACAAACTGATAGTTTCTTATATACTGTTCTAATGCCAGTAATCATTTTCTTCATTAAAATCATATACACAAGGATGTATTTTAACTGTTAGCTCAGTTCCTTCAAATTTTATACATATTTACGTTCTGTTAACACACGGAAAGGATAAAAGTGGCAAGAACAAAACAAAACAAAAAAAAGTGACATAAAGCTATGAGCACAATGGATTGTTTCCCTGTGCAAACGGGCCAGCCCCCCCCCCCCCCCCCCCCCCCCCCCCCCCCCCCCGCCGAGCCGCACCGGGCCCGGCTGGGACACGGCCGGAGCCAGGCTCTGCCTGGACGGGGAGCGAGGATCCCCCTCTAATCCCCCA